GTTGTGAATTGTCCCAGTTGATTCACATTTTAAAAATGCAGTTTCTCAAACAGAGCAGCAATGGTTTGTTAAAAACATCGGACTCAATTGCTGCCCAACAAAAATAACTCTCCAAGCTCTCTTCCCCATTTAGCATGGTCTCCAGTGTTTATCAAATGAATTCAGCACAACCACAAACTGGATTATTTTTTTTGTCTTTTTCCCAGATTAGATGTGATTTGCACATGGGGCTAAGGGAAGGAATACCTCCTTTGCATATATTTTAGCAACCAAATAGTTTAGTCTTTTGTTCACAAACAAGCTGCTGCTTCTCTTCTCCCTGTCCTTGCTTTTGGAGGCTATCCCAGATCTCAGCTCATGCTAACCAGAGCTATATCACATCTGGCACTGTCCCTGTGATTGCTCAGGCAGCTGGAACAAGTTAGATTGCATTGTTTCCTATGACTTCCCCTTGCATATCAGTTGCCATTACTCCACCTCTGCTGGAGCACTTTTCCATCTATGTTCTCTCCTTCTGTTCTATGCAAACTGCCAGAAGCTTTCACAGTTTCTTCACTGCCAATGTGAAGCACAGAGAAGACCAAACACCCAAAAGCAGATGCTAAGGAAAGTGTAGTATAGACTTTTGACCAAAGCAATATAGACTGCAACTAATGCTGCTGTCCTACTGCATTTCAGTCTGTCCCTGTTCAATAAGTCCACTTCTCTTTCCCGAGGGAGGACAATGTGACATGCTTTTCAATCATTCTTTTTTTAAATTTACAATTCTGGACACTTCCAGTGGCCTAACCCCCAGGTCATGTAAAACAGCAGTGATGTTAGCAGGAAGGTTTTGGCAGGCAATACTTTGTAAGGGGAAGTTTCGTGAGACTGTTACATATACAAAGTGCTCATTCTCTTGAAAGTGCTGATATGAAGCTGTATCCATGTAAATCCAGCCTGGGTAAGCCACCTTCTCTGTCCTCACAGAGAGCTGGGAATGAATCAGCCATGGATTAATTTCCATGATAAGACACAGTCACTAATTTATATTTTCCTTGTGCCATCATTTATAACTTGTTCCTTCCCAGCCAGGTGTGACTGCAGATCAGAGACTGAGCCTCTGCCCAGGTGAGCTTTGCAGCAGGTGCTGCCATAGTTCAAGCTATTGTTTCTCTGCAACAATGCCGTTGTCTAAAAGCCATTTCATCACTCCAAATCACACCTCTGGATTATCCTTCATGCCACAATGAAGGATGTTGTTTTCCCCTAGCGACCCCATGAGCTGTGGGCTGGAATTTGTATTTTCTAATTGCAATCACTTATGGTTACAAATGAAAGAAGGCATTGCATTTGATGTAGCATGGATAATGTGGAAGATGTATACATTTTTTATAAAGTACAGATACAGTCTAGCCATTAATTTCTGGTCCAGCACTGGATTACTATTGTTTATTTGTTAAGTGCCAACTATGTGCTCAGAGCTGTGGAAGACTCAAAATGAAGACAATCCCAGCCCTTAAAAACTTGGATCTGACATTCTCCAAAAGTCAAAAGAGGGTTTAGATCAGGTGTTCCAGTTCAGGCTCATCCTCATTATGAAGTGGTGCTGAAAAAATCCAGATGCTTAATAAAGAATTGCTGCATTTTCTTGTAAAAATGTAACATTTATTGTAAATGACTAATTTTTCTAATGAATGTTTTGGAAGTGACGTTCATACAGAGAAACTATAAACTGCAATAAATTGCATAGGGGCTGCCTGATGTTTCTGGAGACTAAGGAGAATGGAAACTCTTGGCCAAGATGATGAAAAACTTTCAGACAAGCCAGTGAGTGAGTGCCAACATGGTAGAATCTTCGGCGTCCATTAAGGACTTGAGGCAAAATTATCTGGGTAAATGCTGGACAGACATGGAGTGAGGTACCAGAGCCTGTTATAGCAAATAGGTGTTAAGACTGTGGGAACAGCAAAACTCATATGTTGATATACACTGGGAACTGAGGATGTTTCTTTTTTTTAGTGATTCTTCCTGGGGGGAAAAAACTATCTATGAGAAGAGTGACCTACCTTTTCTTGAAGTGGGTAGGTGGAGTGCAGAGGAAGGTCAGGAAGGAAGGGGTTAACTTTCTGGTGAGTATGGCTGGGTTAGCACTCAGCTCTTCGCCCAAAGCACATCAATCCTGTGTACTGCATTGCTCATGTATGAGATGAAATACTAAGCCATAGAAAAGTGGCACAAAACGTGTTTGTGTGTGTGTGTAGCTTTTACCTTCCCCTAAACCTGCACCTCTGTTCCTGTGGGACTGTGGGCCTCAAACACCTTGCATTTAACATGGAAAACGCTCACAGTAGTTGACAGGAAGCACACATTTTTCACATGTGTAACCTGCTTTAACTAGAAGCAAAGCCCTAGGTATTCCAGCCTCAAACAATTTATTCCTCATTACTACTCACGTGACAAATCAATCCAGCTGACACAAGGGACACAATCTAAAGCCCAGGGAAAGTTCCCATTGCTTATTAGGCCTTTCAGATCAAACAATCACTAGCTAGAGAAATACTTACATTTTTAAAAGTAATTATTATTATTAAAAAAACCCCCAAAAAACAAAAAAACAAACAAAAAAACAAACAAAAAAAACCCCAAAAAACCAAACAAACAGAAAAACCAAACCAAAACAAACAAACAAACAAACAAACAAAAACAACAAAAAAACCAATCCTTTTTTGGAGTTTTCTTAACTTTTTTTTTTAATATGTCAGGGAAGAAAGCAAACACCTGTTCTTGGTAATTTTATTCCATGTTTGAGTGAATATTTTGTTCAGATTATTTTTCCTCCTGTATTCCCTTCTCTCCTCATCTCCCCGAACTGGTCACCTCTGATGTTGCATTAACATAACTCCGTGTGGAAAAATCACATTCCATTGCAGATATCTCTATCCCGAAGCAGGGCGAGTGACACACCTGTGTGCTAGACCTACTGCGTTGTTTAGCACGATAATAAATGAGTGGATGTGATTTGCTCAGGGAATGTGTACAATTACAGGCAAAAACTGTAAACCATTCAAAAGCCTTTCCACCGGGATAGATCCTCCTGTCTTTACTCAGACAATATTCCCACCACTTTCCTGTCTAAACACAACCTTATTTGCAGTTCAGGTTTATCGTAGGCAGTCGGGAGGGAGAGGAAAAGGGGAGAGATGTTTGCTAGTGCTTGTATGCTGAGAAGCTGTTCCAAGGTGGACATAAAGAGTGGAATGACCCCTGGTGCTCTTGCTGGGAATTACTGGGCTCAGCTTAGCACGGAACTGCGCTTCCAGCGGCTTCCCACAGACGCTCCGGTGTGCTGGAGCGGCGACGGGCACCGCAGCTGAACGCGTTTTCCCAGCTCCGTCTCCCAAGCTTGGCTTGCTTCAGTAGGAATGGTATTTGTAAAAGCTAAACCTAAAGGTGCGTGAATTTCTGCTGATTTCCAGCACGTTAGTGTCTCTTTGGAGTGTAAAATCACGCTCCTTTAAATGCACTCTCCTCCGGGAAGGTGCAGTGAGAGGATGGGCAAGGAGAGCCACACGCCATTTACCGATTCCTACCTACCCTGCTGTTAATTAATGATGGTGCCAGGCATGGCCTGTGACAGCCCGCTCGGTTTTCAGCTCCAGGCAGCTCTGCGTGCCTCCCAAGCTCCGGCTGCATTCGGGCTCATGTCCCTGTGTCACCTCCAGCAGCACTCCTGCCCGGCGGCCCGGAGCAGCCTGCTCCTGCTCCTGCTGCTGCTGCTGCCTGCGGACAGGTCTCCAGACCCGCCCTGAAACCAGAACACGGGTGAACCAGCCCCGGGTGCTCGGCTCCCCATCCCGCGCTGCTGTCCCGCAGCATCCATGCCCGGGGAGGCGGTGCGGAGCGCTCCGTGGCCGGATCCCGCTGTCGGGAGATGGCAGTGTCTGCCCGCCGACCGGAGCCACAGCGAGCCACGGCTCCTTCTCCCCAGACACCCTCCGCTCCGCCTTTGCACAGCCCCTTCTCGATAAGATGGCGCCGAAGGAGAAGCTTGGTGGCTGGAGGCCGGGGAGCAGCAGTGGGACCAGCCGGTGCCGTCAGCTGAGTACAGGTGATCCGCCTGCACCTTGCCACGCCATGGAGCATCTTCCCGCTTCTCCAGCCGTCAGAACGCCTGCCCACCCCGCTGCCACTCCCTGCTCCTCACACTTCGGGATCGGGACCTACACGGGCCACAAAGAAGGCTGAAATTACTCCTTCTGAGCTCTGTGCTGGTGACACTGAGGAATGAAAAGCTGGCTCAAAGCTGCAGAATCTGCTTGGGATCAACTATATTTTAAAAACAGAAGAAATAGACTGCAAACATTCATAGGCTTCACTATTCTAGGCAAGAACAATCACATTGCTATTCACCTACCACCCATGATGGTTCATCTCTGCTACCAGGGGCTGAGTGACAGGAGAAATAACTCATGTTTTTCTGGGAGGCTCAGCGAGAAGCAGAAAGCTTCATCCATCTCAGCACAAGCCCATGGCTGGAGAAGACAACTGCTTTCAGGCATTACAGAAGTTCAGAAACTAATACCCTGAGTACTGAGCTCATACCCCAAGGGCTGCTGCAAAAAAATGACTATATAGATCTCAAGCCCTGACCTATACCAACCCCCAGCTCTGTCCCAGCTCCACTCTCTGCTTTTCCCATCCCAGTTTCATTCCCATAGCTCTTTGTGCACCTGATTCAATTTGGCAATAAGGAGGGGCCACAATTCCCAAACTCTTCTCCTCCATTAGCTGGTCCCATGTCACATGTCCTCCCCTGCACACCCTCAAGTCCCAGGGACTCACAGGGTGAAAGTGGGTGGGTCTCTGTGACCCTCTAGTTTATCTTTTCTTGAAGAACAATAACAACAGGTTTTTGCAAAGGTTTTTACTTCCTTCCTGAAATTATGTTTCAAAAGCAAGAAATTAATCTCTGGATTTGTCTTCTTTTATCAGTTTCTTTACACCTCTTAAACATCTCTGGACTCTTAGCTTAGCTGGTCAGAGCATGGTCCTGATAATGCCAAGGTTGTAGGTTTGATCCTTGTATGGGCCATTCACTGTAGAGCTGGACTCAGTGGTCCTTCTGGGTCCCTCCCAACTCACAATATTCTGTTTCCATAGATTGTCTGAGTCACCTTTGAGAAACAGAATTGGCATTTTTATAAATAATACCAGTAATGTGTCTATCTGAGGCTACTAGTCTGCCCCAAAAGTGAGTGGATGCATTAGTCTGTGCTTTCACTATTGTTTGATCTCTGAGCTGGCAAAGCATTTCACAAAATTCTGTGCTGGAGCATCATGATAATATGACAATTTTCCTTCCACAACAAAAAGTTGTAATCTGTTTTCCATTTGTGTCAATGTATTTGTGTTGGAGACTGCACAGTGGTGAGGCCAGAGGATCTAGGCACTTACAAAACACTTATCCAAAACTTGTATGGATGTCTTCTGTTGAGACAGTTGCTCAAAAATTTGTTATATTGTACAAGTACAAATTTTGTTCACTGCTTCATAACACCTAGGTATCTGCTACTACCAATAATTTTCAGTCAGCTTCCAGAATAAAATGGGAAATGGAAAAACATAGTAACAACTGTGAATTTTGTAAAGTAACCCCAGAAGGGTTGCTGTTGAAACACTGCAGCTGACATTGGTTTGCTGTTCTTTCCACCAATTTTACCAAAATGCTGAGTAGTAAAGACTTCAAGAAGTCACTATAGCTAGGAACCTTTGGAGAAGGAAGGCATTCAGTACTACCCTGTTTTTCAGGAAACAACTGAATATATCTGGCCTCCCATCTCTCTTCAGCCCAACAGATGCTCTTGACCAATTGAACTGAAGTTTGCTGAAAGATGTACTAGCACTGGCAAAGTCTTTTGGAGACCATCAACTGCTGTGAATAATGCTATGAATAAGCCTATTTAAACAGCTGAGGTCTAAGGAATTTGAGAATACCAGATACCTATGAGATTGTCCTACCAGCTCCATTTCACTTATTTCTTCTAGAATGAATCAATACAGAGAAAATTTGCGACCCCAAACAGGTGTATAAATAAAGACAGGGCCACAGCTTCCTTAAGGTTGCTGACAATCTGTTTTGCACAAAGTCTCTCTGCAGGAAGAGCATGCTGGCTCTTTTTGTTAAGCCAGGGAGAGTGCAGATAGCTGAATTACCCACTCTCAATATGCTATGAGCTAAGTAGAAAGGAAACTCATTCATGGAAAATACTGTGTTTTAATCTTGGCTTCTTTAAAAATCCGGTCCTGGCTCCTGGGAGCTTATGGAATGTCTCCTGGCATTGTCTCTATGGCCAGCTCATTGCCTTGTTAAGCACAGGGTGGTAAAGTTGCAGAGATCCCAATCTGTCCATTTATCTCTGCCTGTTCTAACGCTGAGAGCTGGAAAAGCCACACACACTGCACTGCAAACTCTTTGGACCAAACTCCTGCCATCCCTGAAGGCTCTCTTCTGTAGGCAACAATAGGTCTGGTCTGGTTTGCTGATAAATTATGCAATTTGTCTGAGACATAAATTTGGCTTCCAGTGGAAGCATTTGCCTGGCTGAGAGGCATACTGTATCAACAAATGCACTTACTGGATTGTCTGCCATCACTGAAGTCATCGTCTTGCAGCCCAGGCCAAATCTTGCAGTGCATGTCTTCCCTCATCTCTCAAACAAATCACAAGACTGCTTACAGAACTCTGAGAAACTTTCACTGCAGACAGCATGCTGTGGAGCTGACACTTGGGTAATGTTACACATGTGTAATCTCTATTGGATGACCATCAGCTTTTAGAGATAGCAATTCCAGGAGGTTTTCTCAAGTAACTCTCAAATACTTGCTACCTCTCAGTTAATGAGTCAAGCAGCACAATTTCCTTTTCAAATGGCCTCCAAAACATTATTGCCACATTCTAAGGTGATGTCTGAGTGGTCCTAAAGGTGTACTAATCCTGAGACAAAATGGATCTTTACTCCCTTGCCATGGTTTAACCCCAGCCAAGCCCCATGCAGCCACAGGCTCTTTCCCCCACCAGCTGGACTGGGGAGAGAATCAGAGGGCAAAAGCTGGAGAACTCATGGGTTCAGATAAAGACAGGCTAATAGGGAAACTAAAAGCTGTACAAGCAAAGCAAAACAAGGCATTAATTCCCTGCTTCCCACAGGCAAGCAGGTGTTCAGCCATCTCCAGGAAAGCAGGGCCCCATCACCTGCAACGGTTACTTGGGAAGACAAACTCCATCACTCCAAATATCCCCTCCTTCCTCCTTCTTCCCCCCACTTTATATTCTGAGCATGATGTGATATGGTCTGGAATATCCCCATGGTCAGTCAGGGTCACGTGTCCTGGCTGTGTCTACTCCCAGTTTCCCATATACCCCCAGCTCCCTTGCCAGTGTGGCAGTACAAAAGGAGAAAGAAAAGGCCTTGGCTCTGTGTGAGCCCTGCTCAACAATAGCAAAAAAATCTCTGTATTATCAACCCTGTGCTCAGCACAAACCCAAAACACAGCCCCATACCTGCCACTGAGAAAAAAATTACCTTAGCCAAAACCAGCACATCTCTTGACCACTAAACTTACCGAATCATTATGAAAAGGTTATTCTTTGGCATCCTGCAATCTCAGACTGCAAGGGCCATCATGAGACAGCTGAAAACCTGTCTAAATACCTGGGCCAAATGTTCTCTGTTGACTGGAAGCAGCTAGCACATGCATCACTAGAATGAAATGTTTAACATTGGTTCTTAAAGAAAAAAAAATCCTGAAATAATGCAAATGCTTGATTATAATTAAGATAATTTTTAATGCACAATAGTTACAAAGCAGACTAGGAAGTACATTAGAAACTATGCACTAGTCTGAAAATAAATTGTAAAAATGCTGTATAAACAGAGATACTCCATCAGCAAATATCAAGAAAAGGTGAAATATCTAAATTTTTATTTCAGCTATCTCAGGCATCTTTGCTGAATGCACAGCTATGCACTACAAAATATTCAAGAAAATTAATCTCATGAAAGGTAGGAGTAGGAAGAAGGGACCAGGAAAAATACACTGCCATTGCAGGTACAATTACCCTTTTCTGACATGCTGCCTGATATAAGTAGACAGGCTAGATTTCCTGAATAGTTAGTCTAATCTGATCTAATATGGACAATTGCAGGCGAGATAGGTTTATCTGAAGAAATGATTGCAAGCAGGCAAGTGGAGAGTAACCTTTCCCACAGCTCCAGCTTTGGAACTCCTGATGGTGCTCCAAGCATCTGCTTACATAGTAGAAAATAAAGCAGTTGTCTTTTCTTTGGTCAGCCTTATTACACTGAAGAAGCCAAACATAAATGACGCTATGTGGGTTTTCCAGACCAGGCATTAGTGTCACACAGTACATAGTACTAAGCTGCTGTGAAAGGGGAAGTAGCTGATCAGTCATGGAACTGTAAGCTGGACCATGAGAAGAGCTCTGCACTGGGGAGTAATCTACATGCTGAAAACCACCAAGGAACTCTGGATTAAGTACAAAGGTGGAGAAACAGTAAAGAAACATATCATCCAGGACTACACTAAAAGAGTGTTGTCTTACTCAGTTTGATGTTCCCAACAAAGCAAATATCAACACATTTGTTTTGTATTTTATTGTTCTATAATTCCAACACTGTGACAAGAGTTCTGGCTTCTTCTATTCATTAGGCTATCCTGAAATCCACATTGATAAAAAGTCTGAAAACACCACCTCTCCAGATGACAGAACATTATGGACACAGATTGTCAGTTTACTGCTGTGAGAGTCAAGAAAGACTTCCAGTTACAAGGCTGGGAGTATAATGTGATGATTTATCATGACAATTATTTTTCTTGTAATGCATCCCAATATTGAAATCCATGGTTACCAGAGATAAAGAGGTTCACCCTCTTTTAATTCAGTAATATGCCAAAACAATGTCATCCACTTCTTTACACACCTCATCTTCTTAAAACCGTTTAAAAGGAACTATTGTCCCAGAGCCCAGTGGCTGCTTTCTATAGCCAGATGTTTTGTTCTGTGGTGTTATTGTATCCCCACAGAGGTCACTGTTATTGCATCACTGCAGAGATCACTACCAGTCTTCATAGCAGAGACAAGGTTCCTTTGCCAACCCCAGCGATCAGTTTGACTGCTGAGTGTCTGTAGATGTGCATACTTGAATGAAGTATGACTTCATACTGACTCTGATATCTACAGGTGCAAGAAAATGTATTTAAACTCACAACTAACGCTGGAATTACAAGGCAGATTGAAAATCACTAAAGACAGCCAGCTGAAGAAAGTAAGGAACCGCATGTTCTCCAGGTATTTTCTAGCATAAAACCACAGAATAGAGTCTGATTGTTGTTCAACAGGGGTGGGGACAAGAAAAAGCCATCAATTAAAGATTTATGTGCTATACCCATCTCTATGAAAGTGGTTGAAATACTAGATAGAAATCCAGTATCTCCTTCAGCTCATATGTAAGGAGTGTTATTTCCTCTTAAAATCCAAACCCCTTTCATTATAGACTTACACCAATCTCTGCACATGGACCAGAATGGAAAATTTCAACAAGGATTAACAAAGGCTCATGGGGCCCTGGCCAGAGAATAATAGATACAGGATTTATCAACAGTTAAGGGCTAAGAGTTGAGATTAATTTCAGGTGTGTGATTCATATCCTGCCATGATGTGCCAACAAAAATTACTTAGTGCCTCAGTTACCTGTGTGTTAGAACAAAGTAGCAGCATCTTTCCACTCAATAGGGAGGAAGGAAACTGTGCCTGTCTCCCCAAAAGCTCTCACCTAGGCTTGCTCAGTGGTGGAACATTGCAGCTCTTGGTGGGGTGTAGTAGGACAAGTAGCATGAGTTGGATTTACCTGAGAAGCAGAAGGGGGTGGAGCAGCAGTACCCACGTGCCACTGGGTTTCCTTCGCTCCATCCTCACTGCCACATGCCCAGGGAATGACTCTTCCCCTACATGTGCCCCACTGCAGCAGTTGCAAGCAGCCAAGGGGGAGACTGCTTCAGTAAGTGATTTAT